TTCTTTTACAAAGCAAATGATCACTGATTACATGTCAGAAAAGGATAAAACCAAGAGAGCCCCATGTGAAAGGCGTTGCAATAAATGGATGTGGAGTATTAAAGCTTCATTTGTGATGAATAAAAGCCTATTATAATGGGAAGGTCGTCGCTTCGTGAAATCGGACTTTTGAGGGCGGAAAAATCGCCCTCTGGTTATGTCCCTAAACTTAAGATTTTTTTTTTAGGGAGGGGGGGCGATTCCTGATAACTCGAACTTCGAATAACTCGAAATGATTTGCACGGTCCCTAAAAGTTTCAGTTAACGAGTTTTCACTGTACTTTAATGAACTTTCCCCAATGATATAGCGACTCTTCAATTTTGAAGTTTCCAAGAAAAATTGTTCAATATGTCCCGCCATTGTGAGTCTATCGCCGAAATAGCGAAGCCAGTGGCTTGATCGCTTTCACTTAAACTGGACCATCACGTCATTTTTAATCATGCAGCGGTCTAAGGCATGAGGAACAGATTGAAGCGTGTTAATGGAGAAAGTTTTGCGCTGACTTTATTTAAAGCGCGATTATTTTATTTAAGCTGAAGATCGATGGAACCAAGTCGTTCCATCGTGCATCAATCATAGTGAGTCTTAAAATATTATTCTTGTGAATTTCAAATTGCATAACTTGCTAAATTGCTATGGGGAAATTCTGAATATTTTAGAATATAGGGTAAGTGCCGCGAATGTCGGCGCTGGGGGTAATCTCGGCACTTTGCAATCCTCGAAATTCTGAGTGAGTATTATCAAATGGTAGGACTAATGTTGTTAACATGTGCTTGGATCAGCCATATTTGCTGTTGTCGTTTTTTCGCAGTGGCCACTTTCTCTAAGCCCACTCCGAAAATCCTGCGAAATCTTGTAATTTTGCAAAGCTTTTGCACATTCCGTTCTTCCCTTCCATACTAGGTCATGTTTCATCAGGGCGTTGCATTCATTTTTGAGTCCGTTGTAAACGACAGCGATACACAATTGTGCCGATATTACCGACATGGTGGTGTCTATTAGTGTGTCGAGATTGCCAGCATCTGACCCAACTACACCTTTGACCTTTCACTTCGGAAATAAAAGACTCGGGGCACTTGAAGCTTGCTGTACAAAAATGTTTGTAATAAAGATATCACCATTCCCAATATGAACGAGGAGGCTCCATTACGAAAATCAGCATGCAAGGTGGAAGTAAAAAAATTTGTTTACAGTGGCGACATTCGCAACACCTAACCTAGAAACTGTACGGAGGCATACCTGTAGGGGCATAAATAACTTTCGTCGTCCTTTAAAATGCTAAAATTCCAAATAGCGATGCGGTTCTGTTTCACTCCGTACGTCGTACTATTACGTGGTTCCTCCGTAACCGACCGCAATATCTGACATATCCACATTGTACCTATGGGGTGACAAATAAAAACTTATTCACCGTAGCACCTGAAGCAACACTAAAATTATCTATAGTCAAGTCCGTGATTTAAGCAGAATTTAACAAGGAATTGCACATTAGCTGGAACTCCGAGTAAGATCTGGTTCATGGGCAGGGTAACGCGAAATATGTGGAGAATTGCAGAAAGCCGCCCGTGATAGATTTTATGAAAATATGGAAGAACTGGCGTGATCACAGGGACACACTTTTTACTATGGAGAGAAGCCTTCTTAAATACATATTATGGAATGCTCATAGGTTTCCCCTATGATGACTTGTAATTATGCCTGCGGGCGTCATGCAAATCTACCTGCCCAACCACTTAGGAAAGCAAACTTGTGGCGACCACATTTTTAGAAAGTATTCACGCCAAGGCAAGGGGAACTTGAAGATCGAAGGAAGATCTGGAAAGAGAGCAGAAAGGAAAGAAGGAAATTAATGAAACATGATGACTCACTTGCGTTTGGCACAACCGGGAAAATGCGAATGGGCATAGAGGAATCTCGGCTAAATAGAAGGATTCCCCCCATCCATTCCTCAATCGTATCTCTGTTTACTTTCGTTCTTCTTCCACGGGAGAGAAACGTCCCTGAAAAGTCGCACATACATATTATTGGTACATGTTATTGGTTTATATTCTATACTCCTCTACATCCCATTAAAGTCACATACTTGGTGTTCCAATAGTTGCGCAACCTTGGGAAAGGTCACATTATCCCTTTTGCCTTCACAATATGTGTTGGAAAGATTTCCCCTTGTTGCTCTTGGCAAATATGTATTCGACGAACCGCTTTACAGAAACACACATCTGCACACTAGGGTTGGCGCCGTGAATCGATCAACAAATAAAATTTTCCAATTATGCAAGTGTGTCTTTTAAGTAATATTTCAGATATAACCATGACCGTCTGGCTGTGACAGATGGGGTAAAATCACCCCCGAGGATGTCAGCTGCCAGGCAGAAACGGACTGAAAGTACCTCATCGCCATGTGAACGGTTTGAGCAGCTGCATTATCATGCTGCAGCCGCGCTTCCTCACACTCTTCATTACTAAAAAATTGAAATAATGAAAAAGGGAGGGAATTCCTTGGGTTGCTGCCGCAAACTCACTTATATTTATCATATCATCGTGTTAACCAGACACCAGGTCATTCGATTCCCAAAACACCTTCAAGGGTAAATGTACCATCGAATACAACATTTCCACTTTCATAGTAAAGCACAATATTGTCCAAGCATTACTCAACTCTCCATTCGTTTAAGAGAAATCCAATTACTACAGAATTCCCAAATATCTTATTTCTGAAAAAATTTGCAAGCTTTCCCCAAGCTCATGCTCAGTGCAATTGTTATACACTTTAAAAAATAATTCCACCTAAAGCATCGGAAACAGGGTTTCCTTCTAATGCGCGGAAAAACGGATTCCGATTCATAGCGGAATCCATGTCTCCTATTTCTTAGCGTAAACATGCTGTTCCGAAAGAGCCTCGGCATCCATACATCCTACTAAAGCGGGTAATGGAGATTTCCTCTAATTTTCAGGAATTTTTCAATCCATAGTCGAAATCGAATTTCCGTTCACGAAAGTAAATTTCCGTCTCATTCAGGTTTTCATTTGTTGCTTTTATTATTCAAAAAGGCTCCTTTTTCCATTCGAAGTACTGCATAATGTATGGGATTTCATTACTATCACGTGACCTCTTCTAATCAATCCGTGAGTATTGGGTACATCCCTATCATGGAGAAGCAGTAAGTTATATTCACTATCGCGATTATGTAGTACCTCTTAATAATCCATTTCGGAAAAGATCGCGACTCATTCTCGCCTTTCTTTCTTCTTAAAGAGAGAGTGTTTGAGGAGAACCACCGAGTCCTGCATATTTTACACTTTAATTGGTCCAAGAAGTGCGGGCCGTCGGCAGTCAGGAAATGTAGATGATTTCTGTTCAGCAGGGTGTCCATCATTTCAGAGCATTCCCTCTCCCAACGGAATGAGGAAGCTGTGATGTGCTTCGTTTTGCCTGTACCCGATGGGGAAATCAACAAAACACCAAACAAAAATACCTTTCTTCTTGAGAATGAAAACGGAGCGATTTCGGAAGCATAATCATTTGTCATAATCAAAGAGATATCGGAAGCTAATTGGAGTCATCTACCATCCAGAATGTAAACTGAAGTTGTCGGGTGGCGTTGTCGATACGGAAAGGTCGGAATGATCGGGAAGTATTTTCCGAGAATATTCGAAGCAGGTTTTTCCGACACGAATAAGGAAAAGGTTCGTACGCTTAAATTCGGAATTCGAGTGCTGGTCCCTCATACGAAATATTTTGTGAAAAATAATAGGAAATTTCCGAAAATGAAGCCAAAGTCGGATTTCCGAGGATATGCAGGAAAAATGTTCCGTCCATTAGGGGGAATGCAGGTTTACGTGCTCTTAGTCGCAAATTTTTCATGATAGGGACTCGAATTTTTCCGATTTTTATTTTACAGTGTAGAACAAGCAGTAAGAAGTCAATCTCCTGGTACGAAATTAATCCTATTCATGGCGCCGTCTTCATTTGCAATTTCGCTTTTCTGAGTGACGTAGTTTTTTCAATGTAATGAAGTGAATTAAATGTTCAACTCACTTGACTTATTTTCCCCAATGAGGACAATGGGCCTCCTCAGCAGATCGGCGGCGGACTGGATTAGTGAAAGACAGTCTCCTGCATCGTCTACCCCCAATCTATTCTGTATGTATTGAGGAGGTCGCATCGTTATAACTCGTTGAACTCGCCATAAAAAATGGCATTTTAAATTTACTAACTGTGAATACATAGAAGTTCAAGCAGAAAAGAAGCACATAAACAATGTTTAACTGTCCCTAGTAGCATGTAACATTGAATCAATATGTAATCAATGTTGTTTCAATGACATATGCTATTAGGGGTGAAACGTCATTACATTTAGTCATGGAAACGCTAAAAAGGTTTTTTTTTTAATGCACGCAAGAAATATCCTAATTACAGAAAAATGTAAATATCTCAGAGCGGAACTTTGCAACGGATGTTGACATCTTTATATACTTCAAATGTCCTTGCCATCAAATCAACGGCACCGAACTTTCAATCGATCGCCGATTATCATTGCACACGTAACTTCCCATTTCACAGAGACAAGCAGACATGCAAATTATTTTCCTGTAGCCTCCCGACGACATGTAGGGTCTTTTGCTCTTAAAAGCACATTATCAGCGTTTCTCTGATATGCCCAGGCAGTTTTTCAACTCTGGTGACAGATATTCGTCACTTATCTCAGTATTCCGTGCAATGTTGGACTATGGACTATGTAAGTGGCTATATGACCCAATCTTGTTTTCTGTACCGTTATGTGGTCTTATTTTACCGATTTCGAGGCAACGTGGCAGATTTCCTCCATGTACTTTGTAAAACATAAGTTACTTTTTTAATTCTGAAAAATGCATGGCGTTGTTTTAGCAACGAATGAAAGGAAGTAATCTTCGGTGTCTTTGTGCTAGAAAAAAATTTCCCAAAATACCTATCTGCCTTAAGTATCAGACAGGGTGTGCCGCAACTGCAATAAAAACCTCAATATAGGTTATTCTGCAATAATTGGCAGTTAAAAAATGATTATGCAATAAATACGACTTAAGATATCTACACCTGTAGGAGAGAGAGATGGAGGAGGGATCCGGAAAGGAAGACAGAGAGGGATTCCAACACTCCTCCCTCACTGCTATATGTAGTACTTGTGGTTTCGAGGGGGCATGGAGGACATAAGTAATCCATCCATTCCACTCCGCTCTTTCTGAGGATCCCGAGTATTCTTTCGCTCTCGCGTTCATCAAATGTTGGCACCATACCCTCCCATCCTACTGAACATAAGTTACGAACTAGACACGAAAGGATATAATCACAAAACAGGACATTGCAGTGTTGGGCAGTAAAATCGCATCGGTGTTCGATCTTACCCATGAGGAGTCCAGAGAAGGAAATAAGCTAGTGGCAGGTAAACCTCTTCCAAACCGAAGGAAACAAAGTGTTATGTTGCTGTAGAAGGAAATCACCATGATCATTAGACACTATCACCTAAGTAGTAACCAAACGTTTCATGTTTATTCAATCAACTTTTCATTTACGGTATTGCCAACGTTCCATGAACGTCATTTGGAACGTTCTATTGACTGCTTAAATGTTCGAAAATTACAACAATAAATAATAATTCAAAGTATGCTTTCCCTGAACGACGTGAATTGTATATTCCTAAGAAAATGGTTAAATGGACTCTTTTTCAGGATTCAACTTCCTGGATACGGGATTTTCGTCACTTAATTCCATTAAGTCCATGTAAAGCATTGCTGCAGTAACGAGACAAAGTCAATCATATAGCCTATAAGTTTGGTTGGAATTATTCAATACTCTCTTCCCTTTTATGAGATTTGCCTGGCAGATAAGCGTGTGAAAGTTCAGTCACATTACAAAACCTTCAATACAATTGCGGGTATCTCCTATTCAGGAATAAACCACTCTGCACTGAGCTCCCTTCTTCATAGGAGCAATTAAATGTACTTTCATATTTTTCATTTCTGTCCATTTCCATGAAGTCACCTTGGATATTTGAACCTCATCCATCCATCCATCGAGCCGGAGTTTTCTAAAGACTCCTTGGTCTGGGTTACCTTTTAAGACTTGTTTGTTAAATGGTTCACATATCATCCCCACTGGTGCATCTTGGAAAAGATCGGCTGCCGTGTGGAAGGCATTGGGGACGAATTCCAGCTGTATCATAAATTGACCCACCATAGCGACAACGTTGGCTTCATCTAGCTTCGGTTGTGCAAACCTTTAACCCCTTAAATGGACTCGCCGCATATGTGCGGTCTGGCACCTGCCATCTCTCAATGGACTCACCGCACATATGCCAAGCGCACAAAAGACCGACCAAATGTTACCTAAGCGGCGCATAAACGCCAGTTAAAAGCTGTGATGGGACTTGTTGAAATATCTGCCGATAGATGGCAGAAGCTTTTCTACTATGAGCAGTAATTACTGGTATTATCGGTGGATTATTAGGTATGAACTGTCTAGTGAGCACTGTTTTTTCCATCAATTGCAGATTCCTCACTTGATCAAAAAAATGACTGACATTATGAACAAGGGATTGTAATGTTTTAGTGGATATCCACATGGTCTTACAATACACAATAGGCCTGCTATGAAATTTTGAATATCTATATAACATAATTATGGTGAAATTCGTGAAATGGGGAATACAAGACAAAGCAAGTTACTGGTGCAACAGATGGCCCTGAGACCCGTACATATGCAGTTACTTGCATATCAATAACTTTATAATACACGAAAATACATAAATAATAAATAAATATTTCAATATATATCACATGTTTAATTATACATTATATATAATAATGCAATGATAACATTTAATTGCCATTAATTCTATAATTATATAATAATGATTATATTATTTATTATAAAAATATGTAAATAATTTGAATTTTTT